ATGATATTCTGGGTAGTGGCAGCCTTATCCAGGAGAGCAACACATTGATTCTGTTCCCTGCTGGCAGCAGCATCCAGTGGAGACTGCATGTCATTGTCAAGGGCAAAGATGTTGGCACCAAAGTTGACCAAGAATGAGACACAGTGGGCATGGCCATTGGAGGCTGCATAGTGTAGAGGAGTATTCCCCCATATATCACATCTATCAGGGTCCCCACTAGAAGAGAAAAAGAAAAAAAAATTCATATTAATTTTTTTTATCTGAACATAAGGTCCAAAAAAATAAAGAACAAAGCCAAAATACATGTGAATGCAAGCATGAATATCCTCCTGCCTGGCCATAGTTATAAGAGAGCTGCTCTAAGTCCAAATATGCCACATCCAGACACCATATGGCAAGAAACAGAAAGAGCCCTGTGTCTCCTTTTTAGAAGCAAGAAAAAAATCACAGAAACCCTTGAGCAGAGCAACTCTCATGTCTCAACATTCATGGCCAGAATAAGGTCACATGCCTATGGGAAAGAAATGGCATTACCTTGCTTGACATAGATCAATTAGAATTCTCCCTCTGAATCTGGGGATAGGGTTACCTAATTGAGTGCTGGCAAATGTTAAACTGGCTCACCCAGGGAAACAGTGAGACCTGATTTATGACATGTACCAATTTCTGTGATGTAAATACGCCCTCCATGGCCAATATTTTTTTCCACTAAAGTGATTTTAATGAAGGGTTTCTTTCAAAGGTATGGGTGAGGTTGAAAGTACTCAAAAGGGCTAGTGAAGCATCTAGGGACTAGCTACAGCTGGGAGCTGTTACCACCCCAGGTTTTCTTTTTTGTCCTTTTTTTTTTTTAATTGTGATTTGGGTGAAATTTTACAGAGCAAATACACTTTCCATACAGCAGTTCACATACACTTTGTCTCATGACATTGACCACAACTTACCATAGTGTAACATCTCCTCTCCTACTTCCTCCCGATAGTTATCTCTTCCCTGTGTCCATCCCTCCATGCACTCCTGCCCCCTGAGCTGTCTCCCTGTACATAAGCAGACCTTCTTTCTCCCATGCTTGTTCTCTCCAAGGAGTGTATCTACCTCAGGTAAATGTTCAACTCATATGCCTGTCTTTTGTTTGTCCATGGCCAATTTTAAGCTACCAAATGTGATATCACTAGACTCAGAGTTTGGAAGAGATGAGCACACCATTTTTTTCTGCTGGACAGATATGATAGACATACATAATCTTAGAAACATCCACAATAGTTAAATGTAAAATAATTAGGAAATGATAAGTTTTGAGTATTTATTATGTTTGTTTTTAATAAAATTTATTAAATTGTAAGTTTATATAATTTCATTTTTAATAATGGCTGTGTTGATCTGATTTGAAAACTTCCTGAAAATTTAGCAATCAGCTCTCATGAGCTGGTAAGAACTGGTTTTAGTATACCGCCACTACCCTCCGTTGGGTCACATGTGGAGAGCTACATAACTCAAACAAAACTGAGTCCTTATCAGAAAGAAAAAAAGGGAGGAATGGATGTTAGGTGGGTAACAAACACTGTCTGCAAAGTCATACGCATACAAAAGATAAGAAATTTTCATTTATTTCTCAACTTACTTCCATGTAATTACAGTATCATGTGAATAGTTCTGCAAGGGGTTAAGGTGTCCTAGAGTCAGCAACTCATAGTGACCCCTTATAACAGAGTAGACCTGCCCCATAGGGTTTCTCAGGCTGTAACCTTTATGGAAGCAGATTACCAGGTCTTTCTCCTGCAGAGCTGCTGGTGAGTTTGAACTGCATGCAGCACTTTCTATTAGTAGCTGATGGGTCAAACATTGCACCACCACTTCATGAGAGCTCTAT